ATTTTGTCAACTGTAGAGGAATAAAAACGCTGTAAATTTGTTTCAAATTTAACAACCACCAGATCCTACCAGTCGTGAACCCAATCAGAAAAACGTATCGTGTAATAAAACTGTGCTCTTTGTCGAGCACGTTCCACCGGGGGGTAATCAGATTACTTCCCTAATCTCCGATATCTTTTTCAATAAAATCGGTCTAGTATATTCTCTCCCGAATTATTACGGCCGCCGCAAACTTTTCCTTTGAGGTCCTCGCTCTTTCGGCTTCGCCCCACAAATTGTGACATAAATATCGGGATTTAGGTAGCTCGGCATCGAGAGCAGTTAAAGTCGATGTTCTCGAAAATAATCTGTTGAACTCTTGACCAGCTGCAGCGACATACTCCGCTATTTTATCTGCAGTGCCGAATCCTCGCAAGATACACTCTCACCAGCGTACTTACTGCTGATACAACTATGATATTTAATTTTTATTTTTTTACCGAAGTCGATATACAGGGTGTTAAGAAGTTTGACTGTCTTAATTTTAACAGGCGATAGACTACATTAAAATAAACAAAAAAAACGTTATTTGACATGGGTCCTAAACTCGACTATTTCCGAGGAAAAAATATCAAAATCTCCAAATTGATGTACAAAAGTACGATTAATTAAGGAATATTGACATAACTGCGAGCATAGAATACCATAAAATACAATGTTTATAACTTTTTTGAACTTCTTTATGCTTAATTCTAAAAAAATGGTATAGAAGTACATTTAGTAAACAGAAATACGTATATACCCCAGGAAAATTAGCGAAAATAAAAGAGAAACTCGAAAAAAGTCCTATCCGCGAGATTATTGTAAAATTATCTAAAGGAACATAATACAAGACATCTCTCGTCTCGTGAGTCAAAAACTTTTATTAGCTAACTTTCCTATTTAAACAAATAAGTGAGGAAAACAGTTTTTTCACTTTGCAGGGAAAACCATCAATTTTAGCGAAAAGTGACTCTCAGGCAGCTTATAGGGAGTAAAATTATCTACAAAATGAAACGCACTTTTCTTGTTTTTTTGCAATAACTTTTTTGTTTATTAACCGATTTTAATTTAACCAGTCTCATTTTGTAGATAATTTTACTCCCTATAAGCTGTCCGAGAGTCGCTTTTCGCTAAAATTGATGGTTTTCCCTGCAAAGTGAAAAAACTGTTTTCCTCACATATTTGTTTAAATAGAAAAGTTAGCTAATAAAAGTTTTTGACTCACGAGACGAGAGATGTCTTGTATTATGTTCCTTTAGACAATTTTACAATAATCTCGCGGATAGGACTCTTTTCGAGTAAAAATTTAATTTGCTTGGTCTAATCAGAAAGTTGCACTGTTATACTATACACAACATAAACATAACTGAGACAAGGAAATTATCATTTTATTTATTTTTTCTCTCTCTTATTGTCCTGAATATCACCAAAAAGCCTATAAAAGTTAGCTAAAAACTTCAAAGTAACTTTATAAGCGACAGTAGGTACAAAGTAATACGATATGGAGTATACTTTATAGGTTATATCTCGCAGATCGACCTACGCCAGTAGGTGCAAAGTTATGCTTTGTGCCAGTAGGCACAAAGTAACGCTTTTTGTCGGTAGGCATCGAGTAGCAGTGACATATGCTATGCAGGTTATTCTCACTCTCAAGTGAGTTTCAACACAATTTTTCCTCGTGGACAATGACCAATAAATCCACACCCAATATTATCTTCCTGTTTTCCTAGGGAATATTTAATTTCACGTTCTTTTTTACGTCATAAAAATGATAATTGCAAATGCAGCGCAACCGGTTATTACGCAAGTTTAATATATTAAAATTTCATTGTCTAGACAATGCCTTGGCGGTAATTGCCGTATTGTTCACGTGTGGTCGATACATCTCGGTCCTTAGTCACCACCTTGTTAAATATGTATAATGTAATAACCAGGCGAGCCCTGTAATTTTAAAGGTAGGCAGTGCGTTTAGTCTCTTGCTTGGAGCTGTTCCACTAAGTACAACAGGCTGAGGATATTCCCAGAATAAGTCATTGTGTTTGGCAAATAAATAAAATGACAACATTTTTTAATTTCGGTTAAAAGCTGTAACACACAATAAGTAGTTTCTACCTCTACCACGTCAGTTCTGCACTATTTCCAAGTCATATTTTCTAATTTAGCTGTCAATTTTCTAAAAAAAATAAAAAGTAATTTTTTTCCTGTTTTTTAAAATTCGTGTAAAAGATGAAAAAACTGATAAAAAAAGTTACAACCAGTTTTTATCAACCAAGAGTACATTTCGTAGCGTCCTCTAGCGTCTACAGTAAAATTAAGCACAGATTGGTTTTTCTCGTCCCAGAAAACCCCCAATCCAAATTTTCAAAAGAATCCTTTGAAAAGTTTCTAAGAATTTTAAGAATTTCGAATCAAAATTTCAACTTTAACGCCCTGTAACTTTTTTATTAGTCACAAATGGACCAAGGTAAGTTTGGCTTAATCGCATTATTTTGATGTAAGGAATCTACTCCTGCTCTGTGTCCCATTAATTTCGGGACACCCTGTATATGGAAAAAGCTATTCCTTAATTTTAGTAGTTGATACAACAAAAATAGAAGCTCATTTTGTGTTCCAAAAGAGAAAATGTTACACTTTAGTAGAATCGAAATACTTGGGATATTGTCGATTTTAGTCTGGAATGGTACGATTCGATGTTTAATGTAAGATATGTAGGCAACCACCATTACAGATCCTAATATTAATGGTTGTATAAATAGAGGAGTGGGAATTAGTAAATATAATCAATTTTAGAAATAGTGATTTTCGTCGTCGGTCAGGAATTTTACCAAAACTGTTACTCTGAAGTATTTGTGAATATAAGTAATTTTACTGCCAATGCAACGAAAACTATTCTTTATGACTAGAAAGTAAGTAACTTGAGATACTTATTTTTGCTTTTTTCTCTAAAAAAAAAAGTTCACGCAGTCGCCGTGAGACCAGACCTTCCACCCTACTGCGTCGGTATAGAATCGCGTGCAGCAGTGGATCAAAATTTCAAGTATGTCATATGTTGTGAAAATCAGGTGAGTAAGCAGATTATTTGCTTATTTTTGTGTATTTGATTTATCGTTATTGATAACTGCCTTGAGATCTGTTAGATTACTTGTGAAGTAGCTATCACATCACAGGAATTTCCTAACCTCAAAAAACAGGTCAAATATAGCAAAAATTCACAAAAAAGTGCTAGGAAAAATACAAAATTTTTTTTTTTCTATATTCAAATGTTCATTTATATGATTAAGACCCCGCCGAACGTGAATTCGCGGTCAAAATTGATGGTTCTTTTTCTAACCTCAAAAAAAAAAAAAAACAGGTCAATTAAGGTCAGATATCACGAATTTTAAAAAATAACAAATTCGCGCCAAATTTGGTATACCGGGGTTTTCGGGGTCGCTGACACGGATCCGAGGTTAATTTTGCAAAATTCAAGATGGCGGATCCAAGATGGTTGACCAAATTTTCAAAAAATAACCCATTCGCGCTAAATTTGGTCTACGGGGGTTTTCGCGGTCGCTGATCACGGACCCGAGGTTAATTTTGCAAAATTCAAGATGGCGGATCAAAAATGGCCGAATTTTTAAAAAATAACAGATTCGAGCCAAGTTTGGTATACGGGGGTTTTCGGGGTTGCTGATCACGGTTCCGAGGTCAATTTTGCAAAATTCAAGATGGCGGATCCAAGGTGGCCGACCAAATTTTTAAAAAATAACACATTCGCGTCAAATTTGGTGTACGGGGGTTTTTGGGGTCGCTGATTACGAATTCGAGGTCAGAATTGCGAAATTCATTTTGTAATAATTTTCTGTACTTTATAATCTGAGTACCCAATCATGTTTTAACCTTCTTAAAGTACATAGGTAATTGATTAAATTTTTAAAAACGAATTTTGTAAGTCTGATCTCGGGTTCGTGATCAGCGACCCCGAAAACCCCCGTAAACCAAATTTGGCGCGAATATCTTATTTTTTGAAAATTTGATCGGCCATCTTGGATCCGCCATCTTGAATTTTGCTTAATTGACCTCAGATCCGTGATCAGCGACCCCGAAAACCCCCGTATACTAAATTTGGAGCGAATCTGCTAATATTTGAAAATTCGTGACCTTCATTGACCCATTTTTTTAGGTTAGACAAAAGAACCATCAATTCCGACCGGGGATTCACGTTCAGCAGAGTCTTAACCATATAAATGAACATTTGAGTATAGGAAATAAAAATTAATTTTTCCTGGCACTTTTTCGTGAATTTTTGCTATTTTTGACCTGTTTTTTGAGGTTAGGAAATTCCTGTGAAGCGATAGCTCAATTCTGACGCCGGATTCGTGATCAGGAGGCAAAAATGCTACGTATAACATATGTCGCATGAAAAGTACAGACAACTTTTTTTTTGTGTGGCTGTGTTAGTTACCAATCTTCCAAAAACTTTATTGAGCAATACTTACCGATTTGCTAAAACAGTAGACGTCTTGATGGTAACCTGTTAAACAATTATTAGATATTTAAGTTTCATTTGCCTTGTCTATTACTTCTATACGAGGGCTCTATATGAAATAGGCAACCAGTAATACATTTTTACAGATTTTATTACACAGTTTGTCTAAATATGAATCAATGCACAAATAGCAGACTTTCCTCCATTCTAACGCAGATTTTCTATAAAATGGAGTTGGTTTGAACCTCAAATTACTTTTCGTTGTAAAGAAATTTGTAATTTGCATCGTAAATTACAAATTTCTCTACACCAAAGAGTTATTCGAGTTTTAAACCAACTCTATTTTATAGAAAATCTGCGTTAGAATGGGGGAAAGTCCGTTACTTGTGCATCGATTCATATTTAGACGAACCGTGTAATAAAATCCATAAAAATGTATTATTGGTTGCCTATTTGCTACAGAGCCCTCTTAAGCCAAACGAAGAAAACTAAATACTTTTGTCAACTTTATTATAGTTAATATATTAACATTATTAATAATGACATATACAGGTTCTAGGTAAAGGCGATAATTAAAATATATTAAATAACGTTACGGTTAGATTAAATCTACACTTTAGCGTAAAATATAAATCCCCAAAACCGAATCCAAAAATATCACAGCTAAATTACTAATTATTTACAATGTACATATTTAAAATAATGATAGAATTGGTTTAAGTCACATCGTTCGTAATTTACATTTCGTTTAAAGCTTCCGATAAAATAATAAATAAGGTGTTTTAATCCCCGCCCGGCTACGACCGTAGCCCCATTCCGTTTATCATAATATTGGCTAGTGCGTTCCTTCGCTTCCTCCACGCTCCCATGCCTTGAGCGAAGAACTGGAGCTGCTTGTACCACGTCTGCGTTTGTTCCTCATCTTCGGCCTAAAAAGGAAACTTGTAGTTTTTGTCGTACAGTAGGCTGGGTTGTGTCGCAGTGACACGATGGTAAGGATTAGGAGGCACGGATAAGTCTCATTACTTGCAAACTGGGGATGAGTTCGTATGTGCGAATTATTAGGTTGCCTTTTGGACTGCAAAACGTCCCAGCAAACGCCTGAACTACTTTACCGTATGGCAATTATAATAAATAATTTTCCAATGGAGCAACCGATTGGCGTCTCAAACTGTTCGTTAAAGAACGGTTTAGGATTTAGAGGTTATTTGTGGTAAAAAAAAGGAAAAAAGTGAAATATACTGCACGAAAAAAATTTAAATCGACATTCATTAACTTCATGTTAAATATGCGATGTGTGGGCAGATTTTAGATTTTATTTTAAAAATGAATTTCCACATTAAAGAAAATTCTAACAAAATGAATTTGTTACCTGAAATGGAAACTTGTCTGAAAAAATGTGGGAATAGATGCGGCATGAGAAATTGAGTCAATATCGTAAATAAAATTTTTTATAAAATCCTTATAGTTTCCGAGAAAAAAATTGTTGAAGTTGTAGTACTTTCAAGCATTACATTGGTGGACAACTGTAGTCTCTAGCGCCAATCGCAATACGTGGCCTAGCGACTCCGAGTACTGAAATCCGATTTTACAATCGTCGTTGCGATAGTGTTTACAATAGTTTTTTAGTAGTTAGTGTCAATTTCCGATCAGTACGGAGACATATCCGCACCAAAATATCATCACAAATCGTCACTTACTTTAAAAATAAACGTATCCTTCCCTAATAACTCTTGTACTTCAAAGTAGCTCTGCCAGGCGGGGTCGGCGGCGATGACACAGCGATCTAGGTACAGCGGCTCCCTCAGGAGGGAGTACCGCCCGTTTTTATCCCTGACCAACAGCAGAGCGGCTTCCCTGGCACCGTGTCGTGCGAAGATAATCCCGTTCTCCTCGGTGCGCTCGCCTTTCCCAACAGAAGCCTGAAACGATAAAAAAAAATATAAACAGCGATCGGAACTTGCCGATATCAATTACCTTTCCGTTTATTACCAGCAACGCGTTTATGGGCGCCAACTTGATTGTCCTCCCTTTCCGCCAGTTATTGTCCGACGGTTGGGTAAACAGCAGTTTTCCTTCAAGAACGAACTTGGCTTCCTCGTGGTTCCATTCCAGTACGTCCACGGCGATCTTCCTCAGTTTGATATTAACCAGATCCATTTCCGCGCTCGATCTTCTACCGGAACTGCTGCCGATCCGCCTCCACAGCTTACTAGGAACGTCCTTCGTTTCAGAATTCATGTGATTCAGGTGCAGCTCGATCTTGTGCTGCGCCTCCTTGAGCTGGTCCCTGGTGTCGTGGTGGGCGGGCGTAACCTTGAACAGACGCGCCAGCAGCAACGGGTACTTGGTCACCCGCTGGACGGGCACCATGAGGAACGAGTTGAGGTTCATCCGCCTCAACATCGTGTTCTCCATTTGGGAGACCCGCAGGAATATCCGAAGCAGCTCTTTGTCTTTCTCTAGACTGGCGAGTAGTAGGCTCGCGGCGCCTTGTCGGATGCAGTACGTTTCGAAACCGTGTAGCATCGGCGCCGCTTCCAAGAACAACTTGCCGATGTTCACGGTTAACAAGTCGTCGTCCCCTTGTTCCAGGGCTATCTCCACGGCGTCGCGCAGCCTCTCCGCGAGGGCCTGGCTGTTTTCGAGTAGCTCCTCCACGTTCAGGAATATGGCGGAGAGCTGGTCGGCGGTAAGAAGCCCCGCCACCAACATGGGCTGGTAGAACTCCTCCAGGATGATCTGAAGGTCCCTGCTGTACTTCTCCTCCGTCTCCACGATCTCCATGATGATCTCCTTCCTCTCCGTACGTTTCTTGACGCACTTCCTGCAGATCAACGGCTCGTTCTCTATTTTCGCCTCGAGGGTAACGTCGCAGTCCTCGCACAAAACCGCCACCTCCTGCTTGGTCCTGTACTTGCTCAGGGAACTCTTGCTGGTCTCGGAACCGACGCCCGAGTCGTTCCGTTCCACTTCGGCCGCCTTCTGGAAGGTCGCCTTCTCGTCTATTAAGGCTCCGGATATTATCAAGGAATTGTCTTCGCTGGAATCGCTGACCGTGCTCATCTGGGACACCCGGTTGTAGGCTTCTTTGGTTTCCTCTTCGGTTGTCTGGGTGTTGTTGCCGAAGTTGTAGCTGTAGTTGTCCTCCTGCACTATGCCCCTCTCCTTGGCGTCCACCAAGTAACTGAGAATGTCGTACTTTGAGGCGCCCTCAAAAATCGACCTAAAACGAGTACGTTGCATTAGTAACGGACCTACATCAAAGTCTACTTATCCGCGCTCGGATTATTCGATTTGGTGGTACAAGATGAAGGACTATCAAGTTTAAAAGTGCGAATAAATCAAATGTGTTCAAATGACAACGACAAATGAATATTTTATATATTCAGTATTACTGCGGTTCTTGTAGTGCTCTTATTATCGTGGTTTATTGTTCTCATTGGTCTTACAAACATACAAAGTGGCATACGTGTATCCTATCAAAAGTTATAGATCATGCAAAAATCTACAATTTTTATAGAGGTCACTTTTTAAGATAACCTCAAAATTTCCGAGAAAAATGCGAAAAACAGTTTTTTTTTCTTATTTTTCGTTTTTTATTTCTCGTTTCCGCAAAAATAATTTAATTTTGACAAAATTTGGTGAAAGTATACCTTACTATGTCTTAAATAATCACAATTTTTTTTAGATAAAAAATCAAGAAGTTTCCGAGATATTCATTTTTTCCTGTCTGAAACACTTTTTTTTTCAAAAAAAATTCTAACAAAAATAATCATACAGAATTCTGCCGGTGATCATTTTTTTCGATTTGCATACACTTTTTAGTGAAATAGCTCAAAAATGCAAAAAACAATAAAAAATGACTTGCAACAATGAATATTTCAGTAATTGTTGATAATTTGTTTAAATTAAAAAAAAAGTAACTGCAACCAAGTGGGGCTGGAAAGAAGTAATTGCGAATAATTCCAAATTGCTCATGCCTTGCTTTACAGAAGTTTCAGTAGTGCCTGAAGATTTATTACAAACAGTCTCTTGCAGCTGCGAAACCAATTGTGACGGTAATAGATGCGGGTGTCGAAAACATGGACTGCGACGTACAAATTTATGTACAAAATGTCATGGTTCGAACAATTGTTTGAACGTTGACAAAATTTGGGAAAATTTCAGTGATTCTGAAGACATTTCGCATGAAATCGAGCAGCTAAGTCTTTGCTTGAACCCGGAAAATCAATTAACAGAAGAATCGAGTGGTATCGAAGAAACGTTTGAAGATCGGGAAGAAACCCAGTCTAGTGAAGGATCGGACGATGAAGATCAAGTTAAAAAGTTGCCAAAAAGAGCAAGATTGGCCTGGTATTATTTAATTGTAAATATCCATTGTGAAAATTTTGAAAAATTTTATACTTTTGAAAGCAAAAATCGAAATTTTAAATAATTTAATTAAAAAATCATCAAAATTAAAAAAAAATTAAGTACACTAATCGATCCTACGGATCGGTACAATTGGTGTCATAAGTTTTTGACGTTTTATTAAATTTAAACAAATTATCAACAATTACTGAAATTGCATTGTTGCAAGTAATTTTTTATTTTTTTTTGCATTTTTGAGCATGTTTTTGAACTGTTATTACAGATTTTTTTATTTCACCAAAAAGTATATGTCAAAACGAAAGAAATGATTACCGGCAGAACTCTGTACGATGATTTTTCTAAGTAGAATTTTTCTTTGAAAAAAAAGTGTTTCAGACTGGAAAAAATTAATATCTCGGAAACTTCTTGATTTTTTTATCTAAAAAAATTTGTGGTTTTTTAAGACACGGAAAGGTATACTTTCACCGAGTTTCATCAAAAATAAATTATTTTTGCGGAAATAAGAAATAAAAACGAAAAATAAGATAAAAACCTGTTTTTCGCATTCTCGTCGCAAAATTTTGAGGTTATCTTAAAAAGTGACTGTCTAAATATGAATTAATGAACAAATAACAGACTTTCCCCCATTCTAACCCATATTTTCTATAAAATAGAGTTAGTTTGAAACTCAAATAACATTTTGTTGGAAAGACATTTGTAATTTGCCGCTTTGGAAAGCGTAAATTACAAATTTCTTTACACCAAAATGTTATTTGAGTTTCAAACTAACTCCATTTCATAGAAAATATGTGTTAGAATGGGGGAAAGTCTGTTATTTGTGCATTAGGTCATATTTGAACAAGTTGTGCAATAAAATCTATAAATACGTATTGCTGGTTGCCTATTCATTAGAGAGTCCTCTTAACTGTGGCCCACTTTCTGCTGTTTTTATTGTTTCCCAAACCGCGCTCTTTCCACAAATTGGGTTCATTATTGTATCGTTCGATTGTTTATACTAATGGCATTAGTGCATACTTTAGTGTTTATACTACAGGGTGTCACTTTAAGTGGGGTAAGTTTTTTAGGGGCAATAGTATGTGTTTCTCTGAATGCGAATCTGGATTTTTTTGTTTGTAATCAAATAGTCGAGAAAAAAACATGAATTGTAGGCAATCTATAGTGCGTGTGAAGGGAGATAGTGTACCACAAAACGCTTTTTAATTTCTCTAGCTTTTCCCCCTTTTCCAGTCTAAAGAAGTATTTTTTCCCCGACTTTGAGGGATAATGAGAAGCGATTTTTTTTTAAATTGCACTAATCATTAAAAAAATTGCTAAATATTAGGTGTGTAATGCGCTAAACAAAAATATAGTACAATATATCTAAAATTCAATAAATTTTTTCTCCGTACGAAGGGTACTTCCTTCCGTTACATTTCTCTTACCGTATAGTGAGCACAGATTCTTAACCCATCGCGGTTCAAGGCGGGCAAGGCGATAAATTTAAATTGTTGGAAATACGAGTTTATTTCGACAAAACTAAACAAAATTACAAAATATTTTCAATTTCTCCGAAATTTCTTCGTTTTTACCGATACTATCATGAAATTTTTCCCAGTTTCCACAATTTTCCACACCCGTAACAACCGTGCTTATGAAATAAGCTTCATTTACGATAATAAGCATCCAAACAGACATTTACCAGACGCTAGTTCATTCGTTGCGGCGTCCCAGCATGTCTTAGATACTGGTAGCGTCATTCCTCGCCCCGAAGGACCAGAAACAACAACCCGTGCAGGTAGAACAGAGAAAATTGTAAGTGTGCACGTGTAGAGTGTAACAATCGAACAAATCGCTTACCTAGTGGTAAATTCCTTGTCCAAGTTCAAGTCGTCGAGTAGACTAGACGGCGGCGGATTGGCCGGCAGGGGAGGCGGGATTTCGATCTCCTCGTAAATAGGATCGTTACTGACTTTTATAGTCTCGTAATGGTGATCGTCGTTCTCCGAGACCTCCACCGTGGCGGACTCGGCCAGTAACTCGTAAAACTTGGTCCTGTTCGACAGCTCCTCCTCCGTCACCGAGCTGCGGTTGCTGTGGTCCGTGTAACAGTCGGAACCGGGGTCCATCAGCTCGTACTGCGTGGAGGAGCTGTGCTCCGAGGAGATGTCTTCCGCTACGGCGTCGTAGTTCCTCAGCCTCAGGAACGAGTCCTCGATGGAATCGGCCGCGCTAGTCTTGTCCTCGAGGGGCGACTCGAGGAGGGACTCCCCCATCAGGCTCGGCGCCCTGCTGTTGAACGTCTTCGTGTCGCGTGGTCTCCTAGGCACATCTGATTTCCCGCAGACGTGAGGGACTAAGTTGCGGCGCACTGCTTCCACCGGATCCTTCAGTATCTCCTTCAGCAGGTCCGAGGACGGCGGGCGTTTTTCCTCGACGTTCCCTTCGAGTTCGCTCGGCGCCTTGTAGTCTTTGGTAACCCCGTCGAATCCGTTCGTGTCCTTCGATATAAACGTCCCGGTGATGTAAACGGTGCTGCTCCTCTTCCCGAGCGGTTTCGGCGACGCTTCCGCCGCCGTATCCTTAACGACCACCGAGGACTGGTACAGGGGAACGTCGTCGTTCACGTTAACCGTCGAGTAACAGTCGTCTCCGTTTATCAAAATCGACGTTTTCCTTTGGGGACTTTCCACGATGGAAACGGTATGGACGTTGGTGACGTCCGAGAACTCGTTTTTGATCTGGAGCTTGTGAACGGCCGGAGTTCCGTTTATCTGGACGACCGTTCGGTTGGCGCACTCCACGGGCGGAGATTCGATCCTGACTCGGTGCATCGACGGGGACGGCGTCTTGATGATGGCCACTTGCGGCTGCTTGTTGTTGCTTCTCTTCCTCGGCGGAGCTGAAGGCGGCGTCGGACTGGGCGAAACGTCGTTTTGAGGTTTGTAATTGTTCAGGCAGTGGTCTAATTTTTCCAGCGATATTTTTTCTTTTAACTGGACGCTTTTATCGTCAGGGTCAGCTTTTTGAGGATCGGGTTCTATTGGAATGCATTTCTGGGAAAAACCGATGACGTACTGCATATTTTTAACTTCAACGTTAGCGATTTGTGGACTCGGTTGTTCATTTATTTGTTCGTCGACACCAAGAACCTCCGTCAAAGTTAACCGAGTACACTTTTTACTTTTAACGTCAACATTCGTTTTCGAAGTGGCAAGTTCTGGTCGTCCGTTTGACTCTAATTTATCTAATTTTTGTACTTCCGTGTGAGTCTCGCTAGGTCCCTTTACATTCTCTTCCCTGACGTTTATCTCAGCGGGTAAACTGTAATATTTTTCTTCTTCGTCCCCGACGGGACTCATCGGAGGCGGCGGTGGGGGCGGTGCGCTCGGTCGAGACTTAGTTAGACTGATTTTCCTCGTCCTCGGGGTTATTCCGTCTAACCGCTCGAGATCCTTTTCGTCGAAAGGCGCTCTCGAATCGACCCGCTTCATGCGTTGCCGTAAGGCCATCGTGTCGTGAAAGACAACCTTCTTCTGGTTGTTGGGGACTCTGTCGCTGTAGCTACGTTTCAGGGAGCAGGTCTTGGTTTCTTCGGGTTTATCTGAAATGCCGTTAAATGTATTTTTTTTAACGTTACAAAAAATTTGCCGCCTACTGGCACAAAGCGACCTACTAACTGATATCATCAGTTAAAAGTTTATTTTTATACCAACAGTTGCCACCTTGTGCCAGTAGGTACGAAAGACAAATGCTAGTAGGCCTCGAGTAGCAATGACATTTATCAATACTTTATAGGTTATATATGACAGAGAGACCTAAGCCAGTAGGTACAATGTAATGCTTTATGCCAGTAGGCGTTGAGTAACAATTGCATTGTAAGACAGAAACTTTATAGGTTACTTCTCACCCACAGCAATGGTTTCGGGCGTATGAAAGAGAAAATTTCTTTGGTTCCATGCAACTTAAACAATAAACGGAGAGAATAAAATTTACCAAAATGGAACATTTCCAAAACTACTGCTCTGAATCGCTATAATTTTAACAAACTTTGCAGTAAATTGTAACTTTTAACTGGGAACTTGTATTAATATAATATTTATCATACCTGCTAGGTACCCATTATTATTAATATATTCTGTTCCCATTCCGCAAAGCTACAAATTGTGCAACAAAGAACAAGATTGGACTTTGATACACTGGAAAAACGAAATTTTTGGAATACCCGAATGCGGCTAAAGGTGAAAGAACTTATTTATCCGATTATGATGTAAATTTAAATATGACATTATTTAAGTCGTATCGCTACGTATCGTAACAAAGGAATGGAACTGTTATTACATATGGCGATACCGATACAAAGGAAATATATGCAGATTTATTTGATACCCATGCACGTTACCTAGTTGCATTACCAAGCGTCTTATTTGTATCTGGAATAGGCCCATTAGAGTAACGGCACGAATAAACGCTGAAATAAGGGAGTGGGTACTAGCAATATGAATAATAAACTAAATGTCTCTCCTAGGTGTTGTATCTCGAGATCGAAACAGTAATAGACCAGGGCGGATGTGAGAGGGGCAAGCAATTTTTTTCTGGATTACAACTAACATAATAAAAGTGTACATCTCTAGATCTGAAAGAGCTCCGGAACATTTTCAAAACTGTAAAAATGTTTAAAATATTTTAAAAAGTACCTCTTCTATCTGAATTTTTTACTTATATCTTGGAATTTATGCATTTTAGAAGAATATTGAAGAGGAAAAAAGTTTTAGAATTGAATTTCGCATAATATACTGTAAGTTAATAATGTTTAAATTTGTTACCGATGTTGAAAAATTGCAATAATTGGTGAAAAAAAGGCAAAATAATCAAGTTTTTTTGATAACTTCTTAAAAATATTTTAATTGCTCCGAGGTCATTCTAATTTTTGTAAAAAAAAACTTTAGAGTGTAATAAAACAATACTCCAAATTTCATTAAAATCGGTTCCAGAGTTTTCGCAAAATAATTTTTTGAAAAATAATTTCGAAAAAAATTTTCGAATTTTCAAAATGTTGCACAGCCTCAAATAAAGCATCTAGATACTTGAAAATTTTTTCACATAGAAAAGACCGCTCAACCTCTCAAATGGTTTTTGAAAAATTGAAATCGGTTGATTAGAACAGCCACAATAAATTTTTAAAGTTAACACTTTTTTTATTTTTAAACAATTAGATTACATTTATCAATTTGCAATTTAGTATTTTTCAAAAGTTATAATTTTACTATTTTATCTTAATTTTATCTATTTAACAAAAAAATTAATTTCCAAATAATTTTTTTTTAAAACAAAAATTATTTAAATAATTGTAATTATAACTAAATACATCCATATTCAGTGTTGAAATATAACACAAACAATTTTTTTCATTGAATAAATTTCAACACTGAATATGAATGTATTTAGTTATAATTATTACAATTATTTAAATAAATTTTGTTTAAATAAATTAAAAAAAAATTGCTATTCTTGGAAATTATTTTTTTTGTTAAAAAAACAGATAAAATTAAGAAAAAAATAGTATTTTAAAATTATAATTTTTGAAAAAAAAAAAATTGCAAATTGATAAATGTAATTTAATTGTTTAAAAATAAAAAAAAAGTGTTAACTTTAAAAATTTACTATGGCCATCCTAATCAACCAATTTCTATTTTTCAAAAAAAATTTCAAAGGTTGAACGGTCTTTTCTATGTGAAAAAATTTTCTCAACTATCTAGGTGCTTTATATGAGGCTGTGCAACATTTTGAAAATTCGAAAAAAATATTCAAAATTATTTTCAAAAAATTATTTTGCGAAAACTATCGAACCGATTTTAATGAAATTTGGCGTGTTGTTTTATTATACTCTAAAGTTTGTTTTATCAAAATTAGAATGATCTCGGAGCAATTAAAATATTTTAAAAAAATTATCCAAAAAACTTGATTATTTTGCCTTTCTTCATCAATTATTGCTATTTTGCAATAACGCCAGTAAATTTAAACATTTTTAACATCCAGAATATCGTACAAAATTCAATTGTAAAACTTTTTTTCTTCTTCAATATTCTTCCAAAATGCATAGGTTCCAAGTTATAAGTAAAAAAAAACTCAGATAAAATAGGTATTTTTTTTTAAATGTTTTAAACATTTTTGCAATTTTGAAAATGTTCCGGACCTCGCCCAGATCTAGGAATCTACATTTTTATTATGTGAGTTGCACTAAAGGTAATCCAGAAAAAAATTACTTGCTGCCTCTTACATCCAAGAAGTGGAGTATTTCGACAGATCCGCCCTGGTCTATAAGGAGACTTCTGATTTAATTTTCTTTGCGACTTCACCGTTTGTCTTTGATTTTAACGTCAAAATATCAAAAAATTTTGTACAGCATCAATATTATACAGGTATGTTCGGAAATTACTGTGGTTTCCATAATGGTCTTATTACTGTGGTTTATTGTTTACGTCAGTCTTACCAGTGTTCAACATAGCATATGCGTATAGCGAGCAAATTTAACGGAAATTTTAATTGCGAAGAACGTTTTTGATCTAGACAAGTACCAAATGCAGACATATTTACCGCATTGGTTCAATGAAGACACGAAAGAGGTACACTGGAACCGAAGCGAAACCGAAGAGGAACAAATTTTAAATATTGTGGGAAAAAATTGCCGTAGTTCTCGTGTGATTCAATTAGATCGCTTCCGGCACCGTTTTTCTTTTAATGTTTGGGCTGGGATCGACTGTGATCACTTAAATGCACAAATCATGCTGCTAAATTTAATGGGCTAATGGAATAAAAAAAAAATCCCTAGAATTGGAGGAAAAATAGGGGTATTGGCAACACGACGTTGTTGTGCTCGAGCATAAACGCGTAGGAAATAGATTTTTTTGACCCGCGTAAATCCCAAGGTGTACTTTGAATTACAACGAGGAACAAATAATGATAAAAAAAAAATGTTAAATTCGAACAAGCTACAAATGAACCTAACACTCACCTTGGTCCGTCTTCTGTTCCTCCCTCCTTTCCTCGGAGGTAATTTTCTTATCCTCCTCCACTCCGTTATCGTCACCATGACGACACCTCACCGTCTCGCCCTTTCGGTTCCCCACCAGCTGGTTCCGGACGAGCTCGTTCCCCACCAAAAACTGCACCTTCTTCCTGGGCGTCGGGCAGGGCATCGGTATGTAAAACTGCGACCCGCCCTTCAACGACGGCGTCGGGCTCCTCTCGGGCCCGGCGGAGTCGGAGTCGCTGAAAGTCGACGAAGGCTTCTTCAGGATGGACTTGAACCGGCTGCTGAATTCCGACTCCTTCTCGTTCGGCTTCGGGGACGACACCGGACTCCTGACTTTCCCCGGCTTGTTTGGAGAATTCGTTGCGGTTTTATTTTGATTCGCCGGCAACTTGGAAGTCGGCGGCGCCTTCAACGACGGGGGAGAATTGACCTGCACGTCCTCGTAGTCGGCCTGGTTGGTTAGGGAGGGTCGGATGCGGATCCGCTGGCCGCTGACGAAGGTGATGCTGGATTCCTTCGAGGCGGTGTCCTTGCTGGAGGATATGAGCTCGTAGGGGTTGATGTCGCATTCTAGGATCGAGCGGCGGCCGCAGGAGGCGTTGTAGGAGTCTGGCTTGGCACCTGGTGGGGCGTAATTCAATGTGATGAGTTCTCGTACATGTTTCAGAAGCGTTTTAAAATATTCAATTTATTAATTAAAAAACTTGCAAAATACTGAGAACTTAGTTTTTGGCAAAATAAAAAGTATTTTAACCCATTTTAAGAAGAAAATGTCTCTTGCAATTTTTTTGTTAAACGCATAATTTTCGAGACAAACGCCGTTAAAAACTCGAAAAATGCAATTTTTGCGATTTTCAATTGTTAATAACCTTTGATCGAACAGGTATTTTGTAATTCTGCTGACGGCGTTTGAAAGTTCACGTTAAATACTTTTTTTATTTTGCCAAAAACTAAGTTCTCAGTATTTTGCAAGTTTTTTTGTTAATAAAAAACTTATCGACATCCGGGCAAACTTCTACCCAAAAAATTCGTGTTGTGCAGCTCAAAATACACAAAAAACACTTGGGTAACTTCATCTAAATGAAGGAGGCAATTGGGACCCCCCTGGCGACAGGATTAATTGTGAATATATTAAATTAAAACATTAAATATTGTGAAATGTTTAAAAAAATGTTTTAGCACATATTTATTTTAATCAAATCTGGACCATCTGCGAATGTTTTCAAAATGTTGATTATGTTGCCTCAACAATGTTTTGAAAACATTTTTAAAACGTCTAAATAATGTTTCAAAAATGTCACATATACAGGGTGTTAAAAGTTTGACTGCCATAATTTTAAAAGCCGATAGAATTCATTAAAATAAACAAAAAAACTATCAAAATCTCCAAATCGATGTACAAAAGTCGATTAATTAAGGAAAATTGACATAAATTACAATTTTTATCACTTTTTTAACTTCTTTATGCTTGATTCTAAAAAATAATTACACAGGGCAACAATTTTCACACCCAAAAACCAGACCTCGCTTGCCCGAAGGTTTTTGGTGCATAGAATCCGAATCTGGCGTCAGAATTGCTCCTATAAATCACGTTTCCAAGATATCCTAACCTAAAAGTGCAAAAAACACGTTTTTTTGCTATATTCGAGCTTATATCACAGAGCGAAAAAATGTTTTTTCTAAAAACGAATCATGCCCTCTTAAACTACCACTCTTACCCTTCAAAACGCTTTTTTCAGAGTTGAAAAATCTTTTTTATTCGCACAGATATCATTGAATGAAGTTAGGTACTTTAGCGTTTCTATAACAGTGGTTCTTCAGAAAGCGTAGGTAATACATTTACATGTTTTTTGGGTCGCCCAATCCGAATCTGACCTCCAAATTATTCTATCATTTTAGGATTCTGAGATTTCTTAACCTAAAACTGCAAAATCAACGATTTTAGGTTGAACCATCGGTATTAACCAGACATGTTGATTTTGCAGTTTTAGGTTAGGAAATCTCAGAATCCTAAAGTGATAGAATAATTTGGAGGGCAGATTCGGATTAAGCGACCCAAAAAAACATGTAAATATCCGCTTTCTGAAGAAGTTTTTTCGAATTTAGTACCACTGTTAAGAAAAAGCTAAAGTACCTAACTTCATTCAATGATATCTCGGCGAATAAAAAAGATTTTTCAAATCTGAAAAAAGCGTTTTGAAAGGTGAGTGGTAGTTTTAGAGGGCATGATTCGTTTTTAGAAAAAAAAAAAATTTCGGTGTAATATCAGCTCAAATATAGCAAAAAACAGGTTTTTTGCACTTTTAGGTTAGGATATCTCGGAAACGTGACGCACAGGAGCAATTCTGATGCCAGATTCGGATTCTACGCACCAAAAACCTTCGGGCAAGTGAGGTCTGGTTTTTAGGTGTGACCTTTCGTTAAATTTGCCCTCGGAGCAACTAAAATATTTAAACGAAATTATTCAAAAAAACTTGGTTATTTTGCCTTTATTGCTATTTTACAAGCAACGGCGATAAATTTTAACATTTTTAACTTAAAATATATTATGCAAAATTCAATTCTAAAACGTTTTTTCCTCTTCAATATTCGTCCAAAATGCATAGGTTCCAAGATAGAAGTAAAAAACTAGGTATTTTTTAAAAATTTTTAAACATTTTTGCAATTTTAAGACGTAAGATGAACCATTTCTAATTTAAAATAAAATTGAATGTAAAATCTGAAATACCGCTGCATACACACTGTGTTCTGGTAGTAGCTGTAGTCGCCCAGGTGCATCGAGTGTACGAAGTGGTCGGTTATACGTCAAATACTAACCTGGCGAGCTTGATAGTAAAACGGAGAGCGCCTCCAAAAACCAAGTAAACAACAGTGGCGCATACAGAGGTAAAATGTAGTACATATGTGGAAATTAAAAAACAAATTGGATTTGTAATAAATTACATTTAAAATAAATAGTTTATAAGAATAAAGGAATTTTTGTAGGAACAAGGGTGCCAGACGTGAACTGATCCCTTCGTCCCTTCATAATGTATAAAGAAATTATTCAATCTCTGAAACCCTTAAAAGCGTATGGCACTGGATCCCTTGGCAGGCAATGATTTATTACTTTGCATCGAATATGATCCTACTATAGGCGGTAAAGCGGCACTTAACGCCCAGAAAACTTGATCGTTAAGTGCAGTCTAACGCCCGGATACACACATTTCGCTTCCGCTTAAACACAACGTACACACACTCGATAATTATTAACAAATATATTAAGTACTGGCCTTTCGATCTGGTCCCACTGTGGCTCCTGGCGTCCCCGTTGCGAGATTTACCGGGCGATATCGACCTCGCCCTGAAGTGTCCGGCGCCCTCCGCCACCGACAGCCGGGACCTTCTCATGAGATCGTAGGGGTCGGCGGAGGGCAGGATGCTCGGCCTCGAGGAGGAGCTGACGCGCACCGTACCCGCGCGCAGCGGCGTCGACGACACCGCGTGGACGCTCGTGGGGTAGCATCGCACCGTGCCGAACTTCGTCGAGTCCACTGGAGGCAGAGGAAGTCGGGTACCTGGACGGGGACGAGCGAAAAAATGAAGACAATGTCACTTTCATCAGAACAAAACGCGCAAATAAAAAAAATAAGTCTGTAAACTATTTCTAATTGCAGTCTGAAAGCAATAATATACAGGGTGTTCCACCTAAGAGCGCTTCTTCTGTAAGTAACTCTGCAACTGTAAAATTTATAAAACAAAAATGGTTTCAATAAAAGTTGCCTGGAATCATGTGGGCTATGTAAGGAAAATATTTTTAGCTTTACGCCCACATCGCGTGGGCGCTACATAACTTTGTTATTTTAATTGGAACAATCTGTATATTATTGCATTTTTGAATTCCTTGGTTAGTATTAGGTTAGAAGTTTATTAAATGTGCATGGTGTTTAAAACTAACCGTTTTCGAAATATTTAGTTGTTTTTGAAAAAAATCGCGATTTCAAATGGAATAACTCATATTAATTACACAGGCCAACAAGGAAAAAATTCCAGAGATCAGACAATACGTTTCCGAAGGCATTTGGCGCGCTGAATCCGAATCTGGCCTCAGAATTGATCCATCTCCCTAGGTTTCCGAGATATTCTAACCTAAAAGTGCAAAAAACACGTATTTTTGCTATTTTCAAGGTTATGTAACTTGGCTGAAAATATCATTGGAAACTACTATCTTTCCCCTTCAAAACGCATTTTTTTATTTGTAAAAAGCTTTATTTTTCGCGGAGATATCGTCGATTAAAGATGATCAGTATAGCTACCTTATTAAACCATGGCTCGACCTATAACACAATTAATGGGTATTATGGGTTATTGGGTAATAGGGCTTGAAGTTAACCTTCCTGACGATTAGGGCTCACAGCGCTTAGTGTTGTGGGGTTATAGGGCTTGGGATTAACCTTCCAGACATATAGGGCTTGGGGTTAACCTTCCTGACGATTAGGGCTCGCAGCGCTTAGTGTTATTGGGTTATAGGGCTTGAAGTTAACCTTCCTGACGATGAGGGCTCGCTCCGCTTAGTGTTGTGGGGTTATAGGGCTTGGGGTTAACGTTCCTAACAATTAGGGCTAGCAGCGCTCAGTGTTATGGGGTTAGCCATGATGTAATAATATAGCCATACTGGTTATCTTAAATTGACGATATCTCCGCGAAAAATAGAGCTTTTTCCAAATAAAAAAATGCGTTTTGAAGGGGAAAGATAGTCGTTTCCAATGATGTTTTCAGTTTTGAGAAAAAAATTTTTTTCGCCAAGTTACATAACCTTGAATATAGCAAAAGTACGTGTTTTTTACACTTTTAGGTTAGAATATCTCGGAAACCTAGGGTGATGGATCAATTCTGAGGCCAGATTCGGATTCAGCGCGCCAAATGCCTTCGGAAGCATAGTGTCTGATTTCTGGAATTTTTTTTTTTTTTGAAATTTTGTCGGCCTGTGTTATCATGGATGAATACAAAATTGGCCCTTTCAACTGATATAAGATTGTCCATACTTATCTTTAACAGTTTTCCAGAAAAATCGGGTTCTTTTCTAATAGTCCATTGAAAAGCTACATTTGCGATTGCAAAAGTCAGAACACGCAATTTTATTTTTTGGATGTCAAGAGGGGGTTAGTGATTTTTATACTATTACTTACTATATCGGGCAAACTATTCGTCGCACAGAAAATTTGTAAAAATATTTTTCGTTGCAAATTAAATTCTCTACAACTTTGGTTCCGTAACTTCTAGTCGTAGAACCAAAAATAATAAAGTTATTAACGAATATAGATAGAAATTTGGGAACAAATTTTCTTTTGGTCGTTATACCTTTTTTTCTGGTCATTTTACAAAAAAATTACATCAGAGCATTTTGATAGAGGGGTTTTCAAGGAATAATTTCCATTACAAACTTTTTTAAAATTTTATTTATTTATTAGGGTTTTACAGCGATGCGAAACTTACACTATTCCTTCAAAGTTTTCTTTCAGTTGTGCTACCACGCGCGTGCGTGTCGTATTTATTTGTAAAAAGTATTTTGAGTTTTGTGGACACTATTTTTAATTTTGTGGACAAGATTTTTAGTTTTGTGAGAGCTATTTTCAATTTTGTGATAAGCATTTTGACTTTTTTAAGCGTTCATATAGTCTTATTCCATCATGAGTGATTGTTTTATTTGTAAAAAATCTTTAGCGGAAAGTAAAACCAGAACTGTGAAGGCAAAAGGAGTGAAAACCTTGATAAAATTTTAAAAAAGTTTGTAGTAGAAATTATCCCTTTTTTGTAAAATGGCCAGAAAAAAAGTTATAACGACCAAAAAAAATTTGTTCCCAAATCTTTATCTATTTTCGTTAATAACTTTGTTATTTTTGGTTCTACGTCTAAAACTTACGGAACCAAAGTTGTAGAGAATTTTAATTTGCAACAAAAAATGTATTTGCAAATTTTCTGTGCGACGAATAGTTTGCCCGATATAGTAAGTAGTAGTATAAAAACCATTCGCAGCCCTTTTTACAAGATGGCGGCAGGGGCACAAGGGTTGCGACCCCACAAACATGGATTTAACTTTACACTAACCCCCTCTTGACATCCAAAAAATAAAATTGCGTGCTCTGACTTTTGCACGCTAAGCCCAAAAAAATGTAACATTTGAATGGACTGTAAAGTCCGAAAAGGTAGCTATGTAACAGCGTCAAGAAGGCCTTGCAAAACCACTTTTCTCTCACATTTTATCAGGTCTGGGACTGACAGTGTCAATATTAACCGGCATGTTTAAAAAGTAATTTGACAAACAAAAGTAAACCACTAACAACAACTAAAACGAAACAAACTGAAACTCTGAACACAACAAAGAGAAAAATACTTGGACCGCTGATTTACATCAATTGCTCGAAGTGTCCTCCATTTTGATTAATACACGAACGAATACGGTTTTTAAAAGAGTTGTCGTATGTGTCGATTTGTTACTTTCACCGACGGTGTTTCTCTTTTAAGTGCCTCTAATTGTATAAGTATAATACTTTTAATGAACAACGATTGTAAGTATAAGTTTATCACCAACCTTTACACTTCTTGCATGTCGACGGCGACTTCTTGGAGGACCGTTTCGTCCCGTTGACGTAGTCCTGGCAGGTGCAGAGCACGAAAGCCGGTGCTAGAAGTAGACCCCCAGGTGCCCTAACGCTGCCGTACAGCCACGGGTCGGCGTATCGCATCGAGCGCGACAGCGAGCTTTCACCTTCTTTATGAGAACCTTCACCCTGAAAATGTCGGCGGCGGTAATTGGTAAAAGTTGCGCATTTTAAAGACAGAAAAAAAATTATTAAGTTGGTATTTTACGAGACGTCATGTAGAGGGCTGTTTCCAATGAAGTCTAGATCGATTCATGAGTTAATTGATAAAAAGCAGCGATATTTCACTGTATTCAAACTTTTCAATTACTTTTTCATTAAAATTTGGCATTTCTCGCAGCATTACTGTTGGTCTGCCTTTACAATTCAACAATCAATTTAAACTTTTACAATCTTTTAAAAAACACGCAAGAAGTCATGCGTAAGTAACAAAATGTTATACCACTCATGAACAAATTACGTTTAATAAGAAAATATGGACTACCCCCCACTCTTTCGCTGTTGCGCGACGGTAACCATGATCACCGCTGTAAACACTACAAATAAATCTTGCAAGTCGAATGAAAATGGCTGCACATTACAAATTCAATATTTCCTTTTTAATGTGTCTCATAAGGCTAATTTATTAAATTATCCCGAAAATATTGTCTTAACACAGTTATTCTTACCCTTAACCCGTAAGACGTATAAACGGCGTCGGTTGGTGATGTTGGGAATCGTCGCATCGCATGGCTAACCACTGCTGCCATGAAAGTGCAAGTATTTCTGCATCACTGTAACAAAAATGAGTTTCAGTAAAAACACATGAAAGAACGAAAAATAAACAGATATGTAAGGGGTTAGACTTAATACAAAAGTAGCTTTTTTATGAATTTTTATAATACAGTATTAGAAAAACAATTCCGTATAGAACCACGGCAATACGAAATTATTTAAATAATAGGTTTGATTTGTGGATTGGTAATGGAGGAAATATTCAATGGCCTTCAAATAGCCCAGACCTTACACCCTTGGACAGTTTTCTGTGGGGTTACCTAAAAAACGAGGTTTACAAGAAAACTAGTGTAAACTTAGATGAACTAAGACATAAAGTTGATTAATGAATACAAAATTTAAGTGAATTTAATTCCTATTTTATACTAAATGCAGTTCTGTTTTAGTTGGTTTTTATTAATTAGGTATTAAAATTCTGTTAAAGTTAAGACTTGTTAAGTCAAGAATGATTTTTATTATCATAAAATAAACGGACACAATTGAAATGGTTAGAACAAGCTTTTGTCAGTAAAAAACGATGTTGTTGCAAGCAGCTGTATAGTTAATATCGTATCCTAGAAGAATACACAAAAATGACTCCAGCGCCATATTAAGTTCTAACAAACACATTTCGTTTACATCCTGCAGAACTGAACTAGATCAGCACCTGCTTTTTTGAGAAACCAACACCTATCGCTATAGGTATTGCTTGACCACCAAAACAAAACCACAGTTAGTCTAATTTTAGGTTATCATCAGTTTTACTTTAGTTTTCATTAATGAAAATGTGACTTTTACTGTTTAAATACCAAACACATTTATTAGACACACAAATGATCGGAAAATAACCAAACTCATTTAATTACGCTAAGTATAATCACTTGCAAACAGAACCAGCCGAGCTATCGATGAACTCAGCGGTTCCAAAAATGTTTCTCCGTATTATTGCGGTCAGTCAGATATTTGCACAAATATTTCTGCCAATTGGGTGTGCATAATCAAAAAAATAGAAATTAACTGAATTTGTTTCATACAAGGAAACCACTGGATTGCTGGTGTGCAGAAATAGCCAACCAAATTTCACATACGCATTTGCATACATGTGCAAGGATCTTCGCCCTAATAATTAAGTTGTAACGATCGCCACTAAGCGTGAGCACCGTTGGAACTGATTGCGTAATAAAAATTGTTATCTAGAAAAGTAATAAACACCGCTCACGCTCGGCTTCAAACCGTACGTTTTCCACAACCTAATAATTTCACCTGTTCCCGATGTTGTAAGAGATTCGTGAATCGCACTTATTTTCTCGTGTTATCTCGGACAAACAAGGAAAAAAATTTAATCCCCGATGTAGGTTCTACTAAAAAGATAAGAGGATCGTTTTAAAAGTGATAATTATGTATGCGTGCAGGTAAATAAATAAATCTAGAGTCACACAAAGCGTTATATCTGGCAGGTGTATGTGGAACAATAAGAAAAGTGTATGTTTGAACTTTCACTCTCAATTATAAATTTATTAATGCCAACGGAGTCATTAAACTTGCATATATTATCTCATTATACTAAATTATTCAACGTAAAGTAGCAATAAAAAAAATGACAACACTCGTATCTAATATAGAAATATGGGATCACACATTAGAAGTTTATCTGCGGAATATTGTTCGGAAACGTGTTATAAACAAAATATTAAAACAACCAACTCGAGACCAGTTGGGAAACTTTATTTAAACAATGGTCAAAGTTATGGAAAAACTATTATTCATAGCGAAAAAAGGTTACAAAAAAGGTAGGTATTAAATAAACCTATAAAATGAGACATGACAATAATTTGTTTATGGCCAAGAGCTCAAAAATGGTCGAAAATGGCCGTTTTTTTTCAATTGCTAATAATTAATGCAATTTTCGTCGCAGACACCTGTAATTCAGAATTTTTGAAGCTCTTTGCACCCTTAATAAGTGATAAAAATTTCAGCCAGAAAGCTTCATTAGTTTGGCGTTGGCGGAATTTTTTATCTAAGAAGATGCTGTTTTCAATTCATTTTTCCTAAGCTCAGTTTCGATCATTAGTTGCTTTTGTACCTAAATAGTTGTATTGACATATGCATCTACTGAGAACTAAATTTTTCAAATTTAATTTATTTAAAAAGACTGAAAAAATGTTAATATTTATTAAATTGTTAAAATAGGTAATTATTATTAAATGAAATAGTAACCTCTATAGTTTAGTTAGTACTATTTTTCTTCGAATTGTATATAGTCAAAGGTACTAGTAAGAAATATCAAGTCTGCGAATATTTTTTTATTAAATTCCAATAATTCTGACTACAAATATGATTGCGATGTGATTATGGATAAAACATTGTATTGCATTCGTGTTTAAATTGCTTTTTATCCACTTAAGAATATTAAACAACAATTTAAACATTTTTGCATGGATAAAATGCTACTTAAAACACTCATATACAATGAATAACTATATATCCCTATATTTAATTGGCTGTTGCCAGTTTAGTAGTAAAAATAATCGTTTAAAACTTGAAACAAAATATTTAAAAATGAATTAGACTAAGTATACTTGCAGTAACGTAATAGTTATTTTATATTCGTCTTGTATCGTGCAAATTGCCGTAAGAAACGACATTGATTGACGATTTTGACATTGGAAATGTGTAAGGAATCGATAGTGTACCGCTACACTACAGGGAAGTATATTCAAACTGTAACAAATATTCGATCGTCACCGCTGGGCGAAGGGGTGCTCCGATCGGAGTGATTTTGGATGTCGTCATGAAGGGAAAGCGAATTTGCTGATTTGAGCTGATTAAGGTTTCATCTGTGGAGGCAGATCCTGGAAGACTCGGTGCATGCTCTGCAAGCCCCACATACATATTCATATCCACTTCTCGATAATTCCACCGGAGATTTATCGTTTTGCGCGGGTGACTTCTCGAAAGAAATCCGAGATTAATCGAAACGGGAAAGTTGTACCAGAGTATCGTGACAAATAAGGCGCCACAGAATAGCAGGGCAAGGTATTTACCACCACTCTCCCAGCAATTTTGCAACAGAACTGGACCAGCTCATTTACCTTCTTCGGCAAGGCCGAACCTAGCTCTGGACAATCCAATTAGAAACTCTTAAAGTACTATACGTTTCTCGCCGTTTTATTATCTCGATAATCGGCCGCCCGACATAAAAACTGTTCTGCGTTGATGGCTGTTCAATTTTTATTCCGCACATATGGTCTCCGGTTTTCAGATTTTAATTAATATACAACGCACCGGATATGGAATATACCTAAATACTGTCGGTAGAACTCTATGTTTACGTGGATTTAAGTTTTGACCATATACGTATAATTACAGGAGAAAAGTAGCTGTCTCTTGTTCCAGTAATAGTCCATCATTAAAAAATAAAGTAAAAATGTTAATCGTCATGTTATCTGTTTCTAAATGATCTGAAATATACAGGGTGTATCATAACTAATAACAGCTGCAAGTTCACGATACTAGAAGCAAAAAAAGTCGTAATAAACATGGGCCCGCAAGCGCGCCGTTCTCGAAATATAGGGTGTCAAAAAAATTTTTTCCAAACTCAAATGTTGTACACGTATTCATCATTAACATTAGCTACTTTTGAGCGCTATTCAATTTTTATTCATCTGACAGTGGCGGAGATTTTAGGATTGCATGAAGTTCTTTTGCCCCAAATTCTTACGGATCTGGGAAAACTGGCATTTTGAAAACCAATTTTAAACCACCGATATTTTCTGCACAATAAAGGTAGTCATCATCAAAAGCTCTAACGTCACACTAAAAGAGTGTATTAAATTTGCAATTGTAAATTTAATTAAGGTGGGAACCGCGGCACAAAATACATTTTTTTTTCATATTTTCGGTACTAAATCTTTTTTAATTAAAAAAATATGGATTTTTGCGAAAAAAAAAAACGTTTTCAATTAAAAAAAAATTAATAAAAGATGCAAAATTTAATATTTTATAGATTTTTAGTAAAAGTCACCTAAAAATTTATAATTTACTCTTTATTCTTTAATTTTTATGCCTACTTTATATACCAACATATGGAATGAATCAATAGGAGACACTTTCTGTATTATACCAGAAATAGGATTGCAGATTTTTATATCAGTTGATAATTGAACACGTATTTTTATTATTTATTTTTATACAGAGTGTAAGAAGTTTGACTGCCATTACTTCAGCACAAGATAATCATAAATGAACAAAGGAGATATATATTACAGGGGAGTAAGATTCACAGTTTTCAAAACATAGCGAGTATTAATGTTGGGGAGTTTCATCACGACGTGACAACAGCGCTTAGCCTGCCGATGCATACTACGTGTGAAGCAGTGATATATTTATTGGAATAAAAAATACAGTTGATAAATCCTTTTAATATATTTAATGGTTTATAAAAATATCGTAATCCGTACCCAGCAATATTTAGGGTTACAAAAAGTTTTCTTTACTTGATTAATATAATTAGTAATACTTGAGATAAAAGCATTTGTACAGAATAACAAGGGAACATAAATATTTCTCAGTAAACTTTATATCTAAAAAATAGTTATAGTTGCAAAACTTTTGTAACATTACTAAAATAGAGATGAAAAACACGAACAGTGAGTAATAACGTAATTTCTATCACAGAACCTTCAAAATTGCATCCAACATTTTCTTTGACTTGGACGAGATGGGCGCGAGTTTCATTTCATTTCTATAGAACTAAATTAACAATTATTTTCTCGTTGTGTTACCAGTTCACATGATTAGCGAATTTTAAATAAAAGATACAAATCTTTGCGAGGATAATACGATATATTTGCTATATATAATAATTATATTTTACATAGTTTACACACAATACATTTTTGAACGCATACGCATCTTTACCCGAATTTAACGCGCAATATCTCCGATGTCCGAGCTCTGTAGGTTCGCAGTGTGTACAAATGCACTCGATTATTAGCGCTGTTGCCACATCTACATAGTG